GGCGGGGGTTGCCTTGCCCCAGCCACGTGGGGCCATGGAGCCCAGCTCTGGCTGCCAGGGCAGGACCCTGCCGGGGGCCCTGTGCCTTGGCGGAGCTGTGGCTGCCCACCTTGGGGGGGGGTCCATGGGCCAACCCTGGCCTCAGTCTCCCTCACACTCTCATCTAGGACAGGGGCCAGAGAACACCAGAGAGCCCCCCCACTGGCTGCTCTTTGTCTTGTTTTTGGCTGCGCGACATCACAGTCAACAGTCAATAACTTGGGGGGTTTAACCTTTCTCTTCTCCTCTCTGAAGGCTGAAGGAATCTGGATTAAATGAAGAGACATTGCAGAAGCTGGCGACTCTGAGGAAAGCAAAACCCTCCCTGAATATAGGGTACATTTGAGAAGCAGGACTGGCTTGGGCCAGGGGGGCTGGCCTGGGGGCTCACTGACAGAGCTGGCACGGGTTAAGGGGAGATGAGGGGTCTGGGAGAGGTTTCCTCTATTTACAAGAGGTCCTTTTAGTGCTGAAAGCACCTTCCAAGAGGCAGGGCCAGGCTCTGGCTGAGCCTCCTGAGGGGCATAGGGATTCCTGCCCAGAGCAGAGACAGGTTCATGCATTACAGGTCGAGGTAGGACCTTGTCCAAGGTCCTGCATGGGTGGGAAGGACCAGAGCTGGGGCCATAGGAAACCAGGATGAGGCAATGGATGAATCTGAAAGGTCGGTGCTTGGTCCCCACTGTTGGGAGCACCCAAAACACACCTCAGTGGCAGAGACTTTTATTCCTTGTGTGTGGGTCAGTCACTGTGATGTGTGTACAGATGAGAGGTTCGGTATTTCTGCCCGATGCTGTAGTTTCCCAGAAGAGCTTCTCCCTCTCCTGTTTGGCCATGTGTTTATTGTGAAGAATTCTGGTGTTGTACCTATGCTAAATAAAGATCCCCACCCAGAAAGCTCATCACACTGTGACATTACCATTTGCTCCTGCGTCAGCAGTGATGCCCCAGCCCCTCCCAGGGCCCAGGCCCAGAGCCATGGTCTGGTTTCTCTCCCATTTCAAGGGGCACCACTATGCAGACAAGGGGGGGTGGGGTGGGGAGGTGGATGAACAAAGCACAAATCTGTTTAAACGTCCTGGTCATGCTGGGGACCAGCACAGTTCTCCCCAGGGGCAAGAACAACGCTGCTTTTCCTCTCCTGCAACCCAGTCCTGGCTCTCAGCCCCAGTCCTGAGCTCCAGCTCCCTGTGGCTGCTGAGGTGACACCTGGGACCATGCTCAGTCCCCGCAGCTCAGTACCATGCTGCGCACAGCCCTTGTCAGAGACCTGTAGGCAGCAACACCAGCAGCTCCCCTCCCAGGCACGGGAGAGCCAATGGTGCCAGCTACCAGGCTGGTGCCCAAATGGGGGCTGCACAGGGGACCAGAGCGCCCAGGTCCCTTCACAGCCTGGCAGGGCTCCGCCAACTTCACATCCTCGGTAACTGCTTCTCTGCTTTTGTTGGTTACCGGTCCCAGGCAGGAGACACGCTGACAGTGGCTGGGGTTTTGGCAGGGGCCCTCCCTGGGAACTTCCTGCTTATCGCCTGTGGTTTGATGGGTGTTGCTTGCGCCAGCACAGGACTGAAACAGAAGCAGTTTCCCCTCCACCCCACACCCTCCCGCCAGCAGACCTGCGTCTCTCGGCAGCCAGGCACCTCCAGCCAGCACCAGATGAGAGGCTGACCCCCCCGCTCCCATCCTCTGCCAAGCTCCGGAAATCATTGCCTCCTAACAAGGTAATTTGAGGCTTACCATGAGGGACAGAAGCCAGCTGGCAGGGAACAGCCAGAGTCTGCGCTCAGGGGAGCCAGAGAGCACCAGGGGAGCCTGAAATAGCCCCAGAGAGCCCAGGGAAACAGGCAACGCAAGAGCATTCCAGACAGCCTGCAGAGATTAAGAAAGCTCAGAGGTGCCACAGCCACCCTGAAGGCACCTGAGAAAGCCACCAGTGAGAGAGGTCAAGAGGTGGAAGAAAGCTCAGAGAAACAGGAAAAAAAGCCTCCAGGTTGACCCCCAAGGGAGTTCAAGCGATGCCGAGAGCTGCAGAGCCCTGAACCCAGGGAGCCCAGGGCAGCCAGGAAGGCGCAGAGGAACCCAGGAGAGCCAGAGCCCCCAAATGCCAGCAGATCTGAGAGAGACAAAGTGAGGGTGTTGCTGCATAGGCTGAATCCAGCTCTGCAGCACCCTGTGAGGGGGAGGAGTGGGGTGCAGCCAGGCTGGGCTGGAGGCGGTGGGGAGCAGGAGAGATGTGGGAAGGCACTGAGGTGACCACCAGCACCGCAGGACCAGCCAGACCCTGGGACTGCTGCTGCCCTGGTCAGAGCACTGTCAGCACCCCCAGAACTTAGTGCATGGATGAGGAGGTGGTAGGAGCACTCCCCAGCTGTGATCGTCTGAGCCTGAGCACCTCCTCCCTCCCACAAGTTCAGCCTCTTCCAGTGAACACGAAGTCAAATGCATCTTACCCCTTATGAGCTACTCCTTTGGGTAGCGCTGCTGAGAGAGGCTGCAAGACTCGAGGGACGCTGAAATCCTGGAGGGACCCAAGAGAGCCCAAAAGACACCGAGATAACCCCAGAGAGCTCAGGGGGACCCCTCAGGGATCAGCCAGAAGAGCAGGAGTCACTGACAGCCCCGCAAACATCCAGTGGGACAATGGGGGAGCCCAAGACAAATGAAAAGCTAGGAGGACTCAGGAATTGGGGGGCAATCCAGTAGCCAAGGCAGAGCTCCTTGGCAAGCAGGAGCCCTCAGCTGCCACAGAGCTCTGCTCACGTGCTCCGAGCTGCTCTGTGCCTCTGCAAAGCTCCTCTCAACTCTGCCACCGGCTCTGCGGAGCTCAGAGCTCTACAGACCCATCAAAAGCTCCAACTGCCTGCAAGACTTCCACTGAGGCACTTGCAAACTCTCCTGAAGCATTCAAACCCCTCCAAGCCCATCACAAAGCTCCACAAGGCCACTCTGACCAGCTCGAAGCCTGCTCTGAATGGAGGCGAGCAGGCCTAGAGCGCTCTGAACAGGTCTACTCACTCTCGGCAACTGTGCCCCACGCTCAAGGGGAAGGAGACCTCACAGCACCAGCCCAGCGCCAGCGGCAGTGCAGGGCTGCACCAGCTGGGGACAGGGACCCTCCTCTTCCTGGCAGGCTCACGGCTCTGATCACATGGAGGGAGTAAACAGCCCCAGCCCTGCACGAGGGTGTCTCACCCAAGGTGGGGCAGAGTCCCTCCCTGGCATTCACATTTGTGCTCGACAGCAGAGCCTGAGAGGGGAGAGCCAACGAAAGAGGAAGGAAAGGTTATTATGGCGAGTGCGGGACTTGGCGCTGGCCCAGGGACTTTCCCTTTCCACCCAAGCATCTCCCTCACCGCCATCGGCAGGGCACGGTTAGCCCAGTCGCTCCCCGGGCCGCACCAGCAGCCCCCCCGGGGCTGCGGTGCCGCCGGGGCCAGACCGGAAGAG